ACATTAAATAACGACTCCATTCCACATTCAAATACTTCCACTTCTTAGAATCAAAATGGTATGTTGTTTTAATATGTAAATTCAAATGCATGTGTATATGCATGAAAAATAAAATAGGATATACAAATTAAACTTTTGAATGGAATACAGTCACAAAGTAAAATTTATTTTCTCTAATAAAAACCTTTCATAATTCAACTTGCTATAATATGCAAGTGAGGCAAAAGTAGGCTTACAGTTGTGAGTGTGCAAAATAGAGTTTATTCTTGTATTATTAGTTATTAATTACTGTATTATTTTCCATACGAACAACCATAAACCTACTTTTGCCTCACCCTGAATATCTAACACAACCTATTAAAAAGTATTGTAACCAATTACTATCAACTTAAAACAATGTCTATTTTTTTTTAAGTTACAGTTTTGCAAGTTTTGTAAAGTTCAGGCATGGCATAATTGGGTTCTCTGTTCACGGTTTTGCAAGGTCTATCACCAGAGTTTCACCTGGGCTACTTTCCTTTCTGGAAATTCTGGGAAATAATTTACTTCCAAATTCATTCAAGCTATGAAATCAATTTCTTTTGGTTATAGGACTGAGGTCCTCTTCTCTGTAAGTCAGGGATCGTCTGCTGCCTTTAGGAGCCATGTGCACTGCTACCCACACTGGCAAGGAAGACTTTATCATGTGTCAAATATCTCTAGCACTGAATTTCTTGACTTCCTTCATCTCTAGCTCTAGACCATCATCAACCATCATCATCTTCATCATCTTATCATCATTGTCGTCGTCATCATCATCATCATCATCATCATCATGCCTTTCAAGAGTCAGATCTTCCTTAGGAGGAGTTTATAAGATATGTCCAACTGTGATTTTAATCTATTTCTCTCCCATTATGTTTTTAGTGCCCATGAGAATCAAGGGGTTTAAGTAGACATCAATTTTGTTGTCATTAAATTTTCAGCAGCACATAAGAAATCCCTACACATCCTCTGAATGAAGGTTAAAATGTTCTGTGGCAGGGAACTTCTAGAAGGGTCAACAGAGGCTCATCCTCAATGCTTTGTTAGTTCTAATGACTCCCAAGAAAGGGATACCTGGCCCAGTTTGGACTGGTCAAGAGGGCATTCAGAAGGGTGTGAGCCCTCAGCTGAGTATATAGATCCCCAGGAGAAAGGGACAAGGCAAAAAAGGGAGGGTATTCTAGGTGGAAGGGATTCCTTGGTCATAGGCATCGACTGGGAAATACTGGTATATTTATGAACTAGCAGAATTGGGGGGAAAGGTCCTTTATAGACATGATTCTGAGTTATGCATATGCATATCTAGAGCATGACAAGGGCATGGACACAGGAAGGTCCTCAGACCACTGGGCTTATAAAACCAAAACAGGGGCCCAAGTCTGGGAGGGAATAAATGGATCATGGGGCTGCTAGACAAGACCTCCTGGGCAAACCTTTGCCTGAAGGACAGGTATGAGCCAAGTAATCTCAACTGGCCAGAGGGTGGGAGTGGGTTACTAGCAAGAGGGATTTTATCATGACCCTAAATAAGGGGAGCCATCAGAATAAATAATGTTCTAGCTTCAGGTCTGGATGGTTCTGAGGAATCAGAGAGAAGGTATGGAACCAAACTAATTGTAGGATGGGAGAAGTATCCAATAGATTGGAGAGGTTTGGCCTGGAAGCAGAGTGAGGAAAGCCAACATAGGAAGAAATGGTGGAAGTATAGCTGCCATGAGAAGCACTAATAATTTCTTGGTAGGAGAATGATAACACTCAGACAACCACTAAATGATCTGGATTCTGGAAGCTACAACATGCATTTGGGTGTTTAGAAAAGTCTGTGAAGAGTTTAACTACGAGACCACAATGGTCCTATTTGTAGTTACTTCTACCGTAGACACTTGAATGCAGAAGCTGATATGCTACAACACGGGATCCAGATTCTCCCTTCTCCAAATCTCAGTGCTCTCATTTTTTATTTGATTGACTATTATAAAGTTGACTGTTTAAATGCATACTAATAACATTTTTCAAAAAGTTCAAACTGTCATTGTGACTACCAGAAATGAGGTCTGAGAAATCAGATGAAGCAATTTCCTATCACCAATAAAGGCAGAGGAAAACCAAAATAGAATTATCATTTTTATCATTTATGTAAGAAGTCTGAAAAATATTTAATTTTGTTTTATTTTTGTTATAAAACTCTTACCACTCCAGAATATGAGACATCTAAATTATCAGACTTCTTTACCTGTCCTCCTTTTTCAAAAATTGTTTATATTCTATTTTTTATTTTTAAATATCCCTTTTGATGTGCTAACAAGGTTAGTGTATTACCTTTATAAAGACTTGGATTTCCAAAGGTGCATTCTGCCAAACCGGTAGGGCACTATTTTTTATTTTTAAATATCCCTTTTGATGTGCTAACAAGGTTAGTGTATTACCTTTATAAAGACTTGGATTTCCAAAGGTGCATTCTGAAGCTGAGCAAACTACTAGGTTATGACCAAACACACCAAAAAAATGGAAGCTATGTATTGGATTTTGTCCAGTGAAATATCAGTAAATTGCTTGTACTATTCAAATGCAGATTCATACATTAGAGGTTTCCCAAATATAAAATAATTAAGGTTGATGAAGACCGAATATTATAGAGGTATATAGCAGGGGAAGTCATTAGGCAGTGTCCGCTGCACCTAACACTATTACTTAATACACATTTAACATAGAATTCCTGCTAATGTACTATGAGCTGCGAGCTAAGGATACAAGTTATAGGTGAAGAACCGAACACCATCATGGGTAATTTTTCTGTCTAGTTTGGTAGCTCAATGATGTGTTCTATCTAAGACACTTTGGACCTAAGAAAAGAAATCAACTCAATCCAATAAAATGAGGGGAGGGGGGTTAAGAATGTAAATGAAATATCAGAGATGCAGCAGTCTTAGTGATAACTGAACTGGTCTCTGTAACATTCAGAAACAAGATGGTCTCTGTCACTACAGGCTCCTCCACTGGCACACAAACCACATGGCCACCATCTCTTAGCGTTCACCACTGGAGGTCACAGATTTGGGGTCACTTATTTCACATTCTCAAGAGTAAGAGCCCAATTTCTTTCAGGCTATTCACTGGACGGATTGCCCTTGGGTTAGACGTCCATTTCTGATCCAATCAGAAGTTGGAAATTGAGGCACAGGGTACAACATGGTCCCTCAGACCTTCTCGTACCAGGGACTGGGGGTGGATGAAACAAAATAAAAGATGTATAGTATGCAAAAATATCACACAGAAAGAATAAGAATATGCATTCAACAGGTAATCTGACCAATCGGGAAACAACTGGTTTCAAAGCCAAAGAGATGTCAATTCAGTGGTGCTCATGAACCCCCAAATCAGGCTTAGCTTCTGAGGAGGTGTTCAGCAATAATAACCAGCTCTTCAATACAAACAGTAATAAAAATCTACACTTATAAATATTTTTCTCGCCACCTTCCACCAGTCAACCTTCTGAACACAATTTCAAATGGACACAAATCACTTTTGCTTTTTCTTGTCTATCCTGTTTCTGTTAATTTGGGTGTTCAGACAAATTGGTGATGAGTTTAAGAGACCACAATTTATCTACTTGCTGCTTCTTACTACTGAGGTATTATAGAAGTGGATATGTTTCCACACATTCCATATACAGCTTTGCAATTGAAAACGCTATCCATTCAAGTAACAGTAAGAGTCACAATGACTTCTATTTAAAGTGTACCCACTGCTCCACGAACACAAGAAATATGTTAAATGACTAATGGCAGGTGCCTCCAAAATGAAATATTCCAACCAGAGATTTACTCTTGCAATGATAAATGCTTTAGAGCAATGGATATAGCAGTGTTTTAATTATGTTGTGGCAGCAGGTAGCTAAGAGCTCACCAAACTCAAGCTCCTGCTTCCTGTTGACCCCAGGACTAGGAATCCTTGCCCAGCTCATCTATGAGAGGCCATGTGACTGGTTCTCACCAATGGGCTGTGGGTGCAGTGATGTGTTTGACAATGAGGCCTTAGGGGTTCTCAAGAGTTAGGCCTTTGTTCCTGGCATAGAGGGAAGCAAGGAAGCAGCTCCCTGTCCAGCATCTCCTACCTCTATCTGTGGCATGAATGAAAAGCAATCTGCTATTTTGTAAAGTTACTATAATGTTGAAGTTTATTTGCCACAGTAACTATTATTTCCTTAACCAAGATATATCCATAAAAAATGTAGTATCGAACACAACATAGAAGATGACAGAAAAGTACAATGCATTTCTGAGAAATGAAAGTTGACTTATAGAACTGTATGTTTATTTCAATTTCATACACACACACACACACACACACACACACACACACACTTTTATTTTTAAATACAAAAACAAGGCCCTAGGTGGGGCATTTATTCTGTGGCCAAATGACTATATTTTGTTTTGTTCTTAAATATTTCATAACATCAAACCAACCCCTAATTTAATAATCAATCATTCTATCTATGGATTTGAAATATTTTTTACACATGGCAATTGAATGTGTGGTGCATACAAGAGGAGCAATTTTATAATTTAGCATCATATGCTAGCAGACAATACAAGTTGCATAGAAATGTTCTCTCTCTCATTTCCAGAACCTGCAACTCCAGATCATTAGAAAAGAACAACAAACTGGGAGACTGTGATATGGCATCTCCTGCTTTCAAGCAACCTGCCTGAACGAAAAGCCTTCTTTTGTACAAAATGATGCATACTTTGCATTCAGGGCAGGGAGTAATTTTGTTAAAAGAGTTTCAAGTACAAACCAGGCCATTTCAGACTTCTTTTGAACATCTGAAATGAGGTCGGTTACAATTCCTTTCCAACTTCGGACTGAATGCTCCGATTCCACTGCCAGGTTTGTAAGGAGAAGATAAACCCCGCCATTTACTTTCCCTGACAACTCAAGGCACAGAACCACGGGGAAGAGGGTCCCAGTACCTGATGCTGCTCATGCTGCCCGTCTCTGACCCCAGCTTGCATCGCTCCAGCTGGCTGGCAACGATCTGGCGTTCTGCCTCCAGCTCTCGAGTCAGTCTTTCAAACTGTAATTCCTGAAAGAAAACCACCAAAAAGATTAATTCTGTCATCTGTATAAAAAGTGGAATTTAGACCCAAATGACAGGACAGTTGAGGGGAAATATCTGGTTTACCAAGATGTCAAATGTGAGAAGTAGAGAATGTTGATGTGGAAGCAAAGAAGGATTTGCAGTTCAGACAGACCCAAGTTTATATCAGAGTCCTGGGACCCGTTAGCTGCAGGACCTTGAATAAGTTATGTAATCTAAATATCAATTGTATCATCTGTAAAATGGGTTTGGGTGAGGACTAAATGAGACAGTGTGCATGAAAAATTAGCCTATGCTATGTTTGTCAGATGACCAGCAACCCCAGATACCAAAAGTGGAACATTTAATTTTTCTATCATCTGAAGTATAGTGTTTATTCTCTACTGGCTTTTTAGTTGCCTCAATATACTAATTTGATTTTAATATTACTTACCTATTGTAGACTGAATAAAAGCAATGCTTAAACCTACAAGTATATTTCTTTATGGTTTAAATTTAAGCATAAAGGCAATGATACTGATTCTATACAGGCTAATTACTGAGGAAATAACTTCTGACATTTTGCTACATTATTTTTTTAAATAGCCAATTAAACCAATGAAGAATGGTTCTACAGAGCAGCCCAAAATCCACTGTTAAAGGATTAACTTGAATGAAAAATAATTCCGTGAGTACATCAAGAATCTTGACTGTTCCAAATATTGGACTTTGTACCATAGTTTAGATGTTATATTATACTTTCCCATGCATTTAAGTTTTTAAATAAATATAATGAAAGCAAATTACATGTTTTAATTAAAGAAATGTTTTTACAATGTCACATTTAACTTCTTTTAAAAATATCTGCACAGTTATATTTTGGTGATTAAGAAACAAGAATGCTGAAAAACATTGAAATATAGGGTTGAGATCAGTTTGGGAAAACTAAAACTCCCAACATTGCAAGAATCTGTCTTTCAGGAGAAGATGAGTTATTTATATGTACTACCCTGGAACATTCTTGGGGGAGACCTTTAAAAAGTGGAATCTACTATTGTGTCCTCTACATGAATTAAAAATATCCTTGCTCTTTTCCATAAGAGCAGAATTTTTTTGTTGACATTATTTAGGGGATCTAAGTTTGAGACACTCTACATATGACAGCTCAACTTTTTCCTTTGGGGTGCTAAAACTTAGGAAGCATGCTGTTGTTCGAGATCAAACTTTTATTCTTAGAAATCCAGAAGCACAGCAAAGATTCTTCGTAAAGAGTGACTACCAAGACTTGTGCTGAGTGTATTTGTGCAGCTAAGTTTCCCTTCTTCTCCCTTCAAGCTCTGCTCTTTTTTGACAGTTTTTTTTCCATAAAAATGTGAAAGTTCTAGAAGATTCTTCATTCCCAGACTGTATACTATAGTATCTTAAATTTCTCTGTATAATAGGAAACCAACTCATACCTTTGAATTGATAACACCTTAAAAACACAATACCTGAGGGCTCTGGAGAACTCCTTATTTGTATAATTTAAAGGACTTCAATTTGCTGCATGTTTGCATATGCTACAAATAGTCCAATAGGGTGGGACAGCTCAGCATTCTGAGTCCTGGGACAGACACTGTCTTGCCTGTGCTTGCTCTAAGGCTGTGACATCACTTTATACTTTCTCCATTTCACTCTTATCAATTGGAGGTGATAGGAGACACTTTTTCATTTGCAAGCTGCCTTTCAAATATAGTCAAAACTTCCAGTGCTCCTCATCACTTTTTACGAATCTGTATTTCCATCTGGCATCATTTTCTTTCTGTTTAAACAACTTCCCTCAATATTTCTTGTATGTGGTTCCTTAGGTGATAAATTTTTACAGCTTTACATGGCTCACAGGAGTCTTTATTTCCCCTCATTTTTTAAAGACATTTTTGCTCCACTGTCCTCTCATTTGCATTGCTTCTGACAAAGAAAAAAAATCTATGGTATTACTTATCTTTGTTTGCTTTTTTATATAATGTCATCTTTCTCTGACTCCTTTTAAGATTTTTCTCTTTTTCACTGGCGCTGAATAACTAGATTTTCATGTTCCTTGGAGTAGTTTCCTTCATGTTTCTTATGCTTGGGGTTCACTGGGATTTTTCAATGTGTGGATTTATGGTTTCCTTCACATTTCAAAAAATTTTCAGCCATTATTTCATCAAAGAATTCTTTATCTTCCCTACTGTCTCCTCTTCTTCAGTGAGTACAGTTACGTGTATACTAGGTCACTGGGAATTGTCCTACAGTTCAGAAATTCTTTTCCCATTTAAAAAACTTTTTCTCTCCCTTTGTATCTCATTTTCAATAATTTCTATTGGTGTCTTCGAGTTAACCAGTCTTTTCTTGTGCAATGCCAAATCTACCATCAATCCTATCGAGTGTATTTTTTATCTCAGATGAATCAAACATCTCTAGAAGTTTCTTTGGGGAAATTTTTATATCTTCCATGGCTCTATTTAACTTTTGAACATATGGAACACATGTAAAAACTGTTTAAATGTCCTGATTCTAGCATCTGTGTCAGTTTCAACTGATTGATGTTTCTCCTTAGTATGAAGCTCCACTTCCACTCCTCTTCACATGTGGTGATCTTTGAACATAAAACATTTGAATGTTACATTGTTTTGTCCTGGTTGTCTTCATATTCCTACAGATATCTTAAGATCTGTTCAAGGGCACAGTTATATGGAAGGAATTTGTTACATTTGAGTCTTGTATTGATTTGTTAGGAACAACAGAACAGCATTCCGTGTAGGGCTAATTACCCTACACTGCCTAGGCAGTCCCTTTGGCGTCCTCTACTCAGCATCACTTGAACCATGGGGTTTCCCAGCTGGGCTGGTGGGCGCCAGCACATATCTTAGCCCTGGTGTGAGCAATAGGTGTTATTTCCTACCATTCTTTCAGATGGTGCTCTTCCAGCCCCTTGGCTTCCTTACACACATGGGCTGCTCAGTTCTCTACTGAATAGGAGAAGGTGAACCTTTGCAGATCTCAGGGGGTCTCTGTTTGAGTAGCAATATCATTTCTTCTATTTTTCCCTGCAAATTCCAGCCACCTTTAGCTTCCTGGACTCTTAGTGCTGTCTCCCCAACTCAGCAAGTTCTCTGGCTCTGTCTGGGTTACTCCTTCTGTACGTTCCAGAAGAAAGCCTCCCAAGGCAGTAAGCTGGGACAACTACAGGGCTCACCATTTCTGTTTCACGTCTCTAAGGAATCACCATCCTTCAGTGTCTAAAATTCAGGGTCTTGAAAACTGGTGTTTCATGTTTTTGGTCTGTATGTTTTTGTTGCTGTTGAAAGTATTTCCCAATCCTGTTACTATATCTTTGTTGAAAGCTGTATAATTTTAAAAGAAATAACAGGTTTTCCTCTATGCTTGATTTTTAAATAAATATTTTCCATATTTAAAAATTCACACAAAATGAACAAGTAACCAGCTAAGTACTTATGTTTTTATACTTAAAAAATGTTGTTCACTATTGCAGTATTAAAATTCGAGGCTACCTTTGGGTCGTTTCTTTTATTTGCTGGATGACTTTTTAATTGAATTGACATTTTCTTTATTAAGGGAACTGAATCAATGTGCTGCCTTTTAAAAATGTCCATTCATTAAATGCTTACTTTGTCATTGCGTATATGAAACAAGCAAGTAATTAAGTGAATTATCCCTCTGTGCTTTGCTAAGGAGTACACAGTAAATGTCAAGGCCCTTAAGGAGCAAGTACTTTTTTCTCTTCTTCACTTGAAATACTACATTTTATTAATATAATAACACAATACCTAAGAAAATCGGAGGCTAACATGTTTATTGAGTGCTGACTATCGAGTGCTTAATTACCAGGACAGTATACATGGCAGAAATTTTTCCTGCTAGGTTGCTACTGTATATAGGGTCTAGAGTGGTCCTGGCACATAGTAGGTGCTTAATAAATACCCGTTAACCAGATAACTGCTATGTGTCCAAAACGGGAACAATCCCCACAGGCCACAATATTTTGAATTTAATTTAAAAATTATGGCATACAAAGGGTTAAATAAATGTATGTGCACTGAGCTAAGTGCTTTACATATATTACTTTGTGTGAACATCTTAAAACTGCTATTTTCTAAGTTCCCTTTCTTTTAGCAGAGTGAAAAGGCAACCTATGGAATGGGAGAAGATATTTAAAGTGCTCAATTTCTAAAATACATAAGAAACTCATACAACTCAATAGTAAACAACAAACACAAAAATGGGCAAAGTACTTGTATATACATTTCTCCAAAAAAGACATACAATGGACAATAGGCATATAAAAAGGTGCTCAACATCACTAATCATCAAGGAAATGCAAATCAAAACCACAATGAGTTTTCGCCTCATATCTGTTATTATGGCTATAATAAAAACACAAAAGATAATGAGTTTGGCAAGGATGTAAAGAAATCGGAAGCTTTGTGCAATGTTGGTGGAAATGTAAAATGATGTAGCCACTAGTAAAACTGCATATATATATTTTATATATATATATACTTAATATATAAAAAAACTATATGACTTAGTAATCTCACTTCTGGGTACATATCTAAAAGGATTGAAATCAGGATCTAGGTATCTGCACTCCCATGTTCACTGCAACATTCTTCACAATAGCCAATATATGTAAACAACTTAAATGCCCCCAAAATAATTAAAGAAAAATATATTTACATACAAACATATACTACATTCATACATACATACAATGCAATATTATTCAGCCTTCCAAAAGAGAAAATCATGCCACTAGTGACAAGATAGATGGGCCTGGAAGACATTATGCTAAGTAATATAAGTCAGTTACAGAAGGACAAAAATCCCATGATTCCATTTATATTAGAAATCTCTAAGAGTCAAATGTATAGAAGCAGAAAATGGAATGGTGCTCTTCAGGGGCTGGGAGCTGGAGGAAATATAGAACTGATGTTCAATGGGTATAAAGTTTCAGTTATACCAGA